TGTATGTGCAACCAAAGGATATATTTAAATTGAAATGTTAAGGTTTTCTTTAAGTCATTGAAGGAGGTTATGTGGTGTCTAATGTGTCTAATCTCCTAACCCTGCATGTGTTTAATGTACAAGACAAATATTCTCTCAGGTCATAATAATGTTAAGATTGCATTTCAAGTTCAAACTTTGAATTTAAAGATTAAATCTGATCAGAATGGTTTAAATGTTGGTCAGAAACACAGTCATACCACTAACCATTGTTCAGTGTTATTATTTCTATACACATTGACAACACATGAGCAGCCAGTGAAACTTTATGTGTCCATTCAGTTAGAGGATGAATCATCTTAATTAAAGGTTTGGATGGTGGATTAGTGGAACCTGTTGGCAGTGAAAGTCAGTGAACAGTAACAGTGACAGTTACATGAGTGAACCCCAGCCAGTGGAAACAGAGATGTAGTTGGCCCTCAGGGACATTATGTGGTTTGGGTGGCGCAAACTTGTTCCTGCATGAACCAATGCGTTTATCTTTTTAATTCACACAAGCATGAAACCACTGAACACAATCTCTGACAAGACTGTTTCTGGATGAATGAATCAATACTTGATTGACAGTTTGATTTAATATATTTGATAAAACCCTCGTTGATAACTCTTAAGCATCTGTGTGTGTGTTTTCCCCAGATACTAAAACCAGCACTGGAGATGCATCCAGCAGTGTTGGTGCCTCACAGGGTTCATCAGGAGGGATGACACCCATGGCACCCTCTTTGGGTGGGCTATTTGCTGGAGGGTTTCCCACCCTCAGGTCTATAGGACAAAGAGACGTAACAGGCAAGACCTCAGGTTGGTGGTTCTTACTAGACACATATTCAGTAGAGCCTGACCAATATACTGGATCAGCCGATCGGTATTTGTGTTTGATGAAATGAAAACCTTTATTTTACTGGGGAAAAAAAAGTTAAAATTAAGTTTAAATATTCGGCTATTGTCAAGTCATATTAATTTTTTTATGATTCTTAACCAATATATTGATATTGTCATCGGGCCCCAAAGCTCTAAATTGGTCGGGTTCTAACTTTGAGAAACCTTCTCTGGTTATTTTACCCTCCCACTGATGCTCTTTCATTCATGTGTGTTAGTGTTTCGATCGAGCTCTTCAGCGTCCCTGAAGCCGCTGTGGAACGCTCCCATGTCCACAGACCCTGAGCCCCAAAGGACAGCGGAGCTCCGCACCTTTGTTCACCGTGCACATGCTCCCTCATCCTCTGCTCCTCCCTCCCCATCTCATGGCAGCAAGCACCCACCTTTTTTTCCTGTTTCTACTCCCCCTCTGACTCCCCCTGCTCCTCCATCTGCTCCTCCTCCGCCACCACCCCAAGCCTTCCAGGACCGTCCAGCCAGCAGGAACCCACCGCTCCCCTCCTGTCCTCCCCCTCCACCTCCGTCCCAGGTCACCAAGCCCACCTGGCTTCCCATCCAACACTCCCCCCATACTTCCATCTCGCATCCATCTACTCCTCCTCCTCCTCCTCCACCTTTCCATCCTCCCTCCGCTGTCCCAGGGGACCGCTCCTCGGGATGCTTCTACCCTCTGCCTCCCTCTCCAGTCCACTCCGAACCGTCAAGGTTCCCCATCCTGCGGGACAGCCCTCTGGGACCTCCTCCCCCACCTCCTCCTCCACCTCTCCCATCTTCCTTTACCCCCACCTGCCCATCCAACCTCCCTCCACCGCCGCCAAAGATGGCCCCAGTGCCCTCCCCGGCCATGCGCCCTCTGCCACCGTCATACCCCTGCAACGCTCCCACCCGACGGCCACCTGCTGTGCCCAGAAGTGCAGGTAGGTGGACACCTCTCCTTTTCTTTCCAATGACTCTTCTGCGGAATGACCATAGACTGTAAATAAAGGTGGACGTCAAGTGTCCACTTCCTCTCAATAGCAATGTAGCCAAAATAAATAGTGAAAATGCACAAACACTAGATTGTACAAGTGCGATATAGATTAACATCTGTGTTTAAAACTGTTTGTAGTTATTTTAACAACAAGTACAAAACTGAAAAATCAATGTGTTTAAATCCATCACATCAGATTTGGTGTTAAACTTGTTAAGATGTCAGCTCCTTTGCTGATGCCAGACTCCTCTCGTCGCCCCTCGTGACAGGTGCTGGTCGGCTGGCTCCTCCTCCAGCTCCTCCGGCACGATCCCCGACCACGGAGCTGTCCACCCGCATCCCTCCCCCTCCGCCACCGCCTCCCCCGCCCCCATTCAGTCTAAGGAACGGACACCTGCACAGCCTGGGTGAGACTGAACATTTCACGGTTGTGATAGAGAATTAGACACCACGAGAAGTGTGTGCGATACGTGAACTAGTTATCTCACTGTATGTCCATGCAGCTCTGGCAGATGATTTTGAATCCAAGTTCCACTTCCACCCGGTAGAAGATCTACCTCCTCCAGAGGAGTTCAGGCCTTTCCCCCGGATCTACCCCAGCAAAGAACACAGAGGTAGCAGCAGCCCGGTGCTTGTTATTTCTCAGCTTTAATTAAACATGACTTCATCTTTATTTAACTTCTTCTTCTTCTTTCCTCTTCTCTTTCAGTGAACCCCAAACCACCAATGATTAGGACACACCTCAGATGAGTGCAGGTCTGTTCTTCATCCCCCAAACAGCAAAAAAAAGACATTTTTCCTGCTCCTCCTCCTCCTCATGACAATAACACAATTGCCATGGACTTATTTGGATGCGAGCCCTGTGTGTGTTTTGTTTGCGTCCAGTATGTTAGCATGTGTGGATGTGGTGAGTGTCAAACAGGCTCCTGCCTTATACTGACTATGTGACCTTTGACCTTTTCCAGTGTGGAATGTTTTGAATCTGTGTGAGGAGGAGGGCGCTCCCTCCTCATAAACTACACACACACACACACACACACACACTTTACTCCAAGGACAGTATCTTCCACTAGCTATATTTAATATGACTCTCGACACAATGTAAAGGCTTAGGCATTTCAGTATCTACAAACAGTATAGAATATTTTTCATAATACCTCTTGTGATACAGTATATCTCAGAGAGACGTTTTGTTACGATGTATAAAGTGTCAATTTTAAAGTCTGATTTCAACCATAAAACAGACAATGACAAAAATATACAAACTGTCTCAAAAAGTAATTTTATCAAAGATGGTTTCCAACATTTTAATTAGTTCTTATTATTTAATTTGTGGAAAGTGGGAGGTAGTAGAGATGTCATCCCTCTTTATACACAGTCTATTTTTTTAAGTTGTATCCGTTTCCTCCGTTACAGGAATTCTATGCAGCGAATGAGTCAGCCTTGTTTCATTGTAAACCTCAGTGAGGAGAAATAATGTTGAACACATTTCAAGATTCACTCACACAGCTATGTTACCCTTGGTTGCCCATACATAACTGATCATACACTGCAGCGGTGCTCTCCTGTGTTTATGTGATTATTTTTCTAAACTCCAAAATAAAGAATTAAATTGTTAAAAAACAAAAGGTGATGTGAAAATTACTTACACTGCAAACAGTATGGGGGGGTGCATCTGTTTGAAGCTACACTCAGGTGTCTTCTTCTATGAATAGATAATGAGTGAGGTATACAGTTTCCCATCTCTCTCTGTAGCATCTATTTCTAACACCTGTAAAGACAGTGCCACCTGCTGGTTCAGTGTGTGAAGTATTTTACTAAGGTATGAACCCCAAGTACAGCAAAGCATTCTGTTTGAAACCCAGTCACTTTATTAATCACATTTATTTAAAGATAGAAACTCATTTCCCAAATCAGAGCAGCCATTTGGTTATTGAAGTTATTCCTGATGTGTTTACAATAAAAAGTCCACCTCACAGAAACAGGGCAGTCTGAATTCTAGTCAGCTCTGTGGTTTTATGAGTCCTATTTGTAATATCTAAAAAACAGCTTCCAGCCCAGTGTAAAAAACAGGTACAGGTACAGTTCTGTGTCCTTGTCCATTCACACGATCCTTCTCTTAATAATATAGAGAATAATTCTTATCACAGCAAATATAAAAATGCTCACTTTAATATCCATTTTAAAATGTTTTTATTTAAAAAAATCTAAAAAACCTGTACTGAACAATATGTCCTTTTAGCAACATAAGCATGAAGGATATATTGACAGACTATTTCATATTGTCTTACATTTCCTGCCCACATGGATTCACATCTTTTCTGTTCCCTCAGATATTCTGTGACACTTAAAGAGATAAAAATCTAAATACGTGGACTTAAATGCAAGATGGAGTTGACAATTACCTGTTTGGAATAGTTTTCGAGGTTTTAAAAAAGAAAAGTTAAACTGACAGTGGTCCCAAAGGGAGCAAAATTAGTTTAAACACAAATAGGCTACGATTTGCAGGTGAAATTTCACTAAAAGTAGCACATTAACAAACTCACTGACTCAAAACCCACAACACACTGCTTTAAACAGGATAGGTTTAAGTGTCCCACACCATACAAACAGCGCTTCTACAAAACCACTTAAGGTGACCTGAGATAATCTTGGCTATAACCTCTTCATAGAAGTGCATCCACCATGAACCATGACTGAGCGAGTCGTGGGAGCCGGAGAGACTTTTACAGTTCATCGTGTTTGTAAGTGAACTCTCTGGAGGATATAAAGCCGTCTTTGTTCTCGTCCTCTTTTGCGAAGATGTCCTCCACCATGTTCTCATGCAGAGTGTCGTTGGGGGGGTAGCCATGACGCTCAAACTCCTTCCTCAGGTATATTTTCACCTGGCAGATCAAGTGACAATGAGTAACACACAGGGAAGTGTTAGGAGAAAAAAGAAACACAAAAATAGACTATGTTAGTGCCTGTTTATGTAGTTAAATGTTAGTTTTGAAATAGCATGTACTTGTCACCTTGCTAAGAATAGCACATCATTACTCAGTGTCGTACTTTATATACAGTTTATGGTTAAATACTGAAGAGACTGATGGTCAAGCGACCTGCTACCACATTACTGTATCATGTGCATGTACTGCCCCCTTGTGGTCAATTCAAACTTGCATTAATAAATCCTTTGTATACAAACAATTCAACCTAAAGTGGTGTTTAGTATAGAGCCCTACTTTGAGGAGATGATGGCTAATTCATCTATTTGAAGTGAGGGTGTTTACTGAACACAGAACAGTGCAACTCTTGTCTTTACCTCATGTTTGGAGAGTTTCCAGTCATCGTTGAGGTCCATCTCCTGGAAGGATTCATGCGATCTGGGCCCATTTCTGATCTCAAGGACCTCAATGATAAAGGTCAGTGTGCTTTCAGGTGGGATCTTACCTGAAGGAGGATAAGTCCATAGGACGAGAGGTCAACTACAACTGAGACTGGATGCAGCCAGGGGTTTCTGTGCTGAGAACCAGCTTGTTTGGTTATATGTTATTATATAGATATAAATATTGAAGAAGTATGTGGGTATTAATGACAGCCAGTTAGCCTTGTTTGTTGTATTAGCAAAGGTTACATATGTGGAGAAGAATTGAAATGTTATTGGTTAGAGTGGCGTGTGCTTACCAGGACAGTTTGCATGCTCCATGTTGAGAGAAAGTGGACTAATACAACTGAATGAAACCCTCATTCAGTGTGGCAGTCCTAGAAATCCAACAAGACTGTTTTACATACAAACATGCATCAACATACTTACATCACATATTGTGTTAAACCACAAGCTTTTCTTAGAGGGCAGTGTAATCTACCTGTATAACAACATGCAGGGAAGCTTGCATGCACATGACCACAGCTACTGTACCTTTCCCTTCCTTCCCATAGGCCAGCGCAGGAGGTACGACCAGTTTCCTCTTCTCTCCAGCACACATGTCCTGCAGGCCTTTGTCCCAGCCTTTTATCACCTCTCTGATGCCCAGCGTGAACCACACCGGCTGCTTGTCGCCTTCGTTACGGCTTGTGGGGAGACACAGAGGCAGTGGGTCGTTACAGGTTCTAAAGGGTAAAGTGATTGTATTTCTGTCTTCTGTTTTACATTTGAAAATAGCCCAATTCCCATTAGTTGGCCTCTGAGGCAGAAAAAGAGAAAATACAGTCAATGCTCACTCAACACTTGTCAACACTTGTCAATGGGATGGGCAGCCTTAGCCCTCTTTGAGACAGCCGTTGAGATCTTACTTGGAAAATTAAGTATATAGTTTATGACGTGATTAAATTGTACTGTTATTGATTTGATCAGATTTTAAAGTGTAGATCACTGGTGGAGAAGCAGCATTGTCACCTGACACTGGAAGTCAAGACTTCTAATTTAGACATTTTAATATGCTGCTGCTAATCTAAGCATTTAAAAGGTCGTTTGCAGACTCAAGAGTTTTCATAAGGACTGTTCATAAGACTCAGACTCAGGATTCACTGGGTTTATTCAAAGTAGTTGTTGCTTTTGAGTTTTGTCCAAATATCATATTTGATGTATTTAAATGTCAGGTTTGTATTGTACCAGGGGGATTTCAGAGAAGTGTAATGTGATTGTTGATGTGGGGTCTTTGGATCACTCTCTTCTGAGCAGCACTTCACTGTCCACCACACTGGTCATCACATCAACACACACTTCCTGCTTCTCTCTCTCTCATGTGCCTGAACTAACCAATAAGAAGGCAGAGAACAAAGGGGGGGGGGGCAAACTTCTCTTAACTCGGGTGAAGCTGACCCTTTGGTTGGTTGTGTCACGTGACCGAACACAGTCGCGTAACCATGGAGACACGAAACAAACAACCTTTTTTAATATTGTACCTTTGGTCACATCTTCAATCGCCCCGTGTCGAACATACCTGGAGTGAAACATGGTTCCGTTCTCGAAGAATCCGTCGTGATGCACGAGCAGGACGTCCCCGTACTTGGACTTCCGGTGACAGAGGAACGGTCTGTACATCACCTCCATCTGCACCTCGGCCTCGGGCAGCGCGCCCCCGCTGACCCCCGGCAGCAGCAGAGAGGAGCAGAGCCAGCTCAGCACGACCTGCAGCACCATGTCCCCGGCGTCAGTGTCCAGGACGAGACAGACAGTTTGGGAGGAAGCGAGCAACAGATGATCCTCGACGTGGCAGGGACGAGTTGTTGCAGGACCTGCTCCTCTGATTGGTCGCTTCTCATTTGGAACCCCGCCCACAGACGCGCCCTCTTACACGTGGTTGCCAGGGCCCACTGTTGTCCTACGGAGGCCGAGACAGCTCAACACGGTAACTAGAGAAAAACAAAGTTCAGGTAAAGAAAACAGCATGAATTTGATGTGCGCTGCAAAAACACATGCAAATACAGAAACGTGCATACACATCACACACATACACCTGGCAATAAAAGCCATGCTGTTTTAAAGAAGTGTTTATTGACAACTGAGAGTGACTCGCCATTAATCAAGCATGCACATCAGTGTGACCTCTCTAGTAGGAGGGTCAACCACTTGATCGTGGCAGTGCAGACTCTGGCATTAAAGATGGCGGCATTCAAAATTGGGATATTTTGGCTTCATTTCTGAGTATTGGGAAGAAGGGCAGATGTGTTGTCCGTCTTAATATACAGTCTATGAGTAACCACAAATCTACACCACAGAGCTATGTTTTATATTTCAAACATTTTATTCATGATAATATAGTGTCTAAGGAAAACATGGTCATTGTAGGATCTAAGTGAAAGGACGGTTTATGGGAAACTGATTTAAATGTTGGCACTACTTTGTAGATATAATTATATATTTGGCAATGACAGCAATGCTGCTGGGCAAATTCAGATTTCTAGTTTTGGGCTGCTTTTCCCAAACAGACCTGACAACCCGCATTGCATCAATTGAATGGGGACTCTTTTAAGTGTGGGCCTAATCTTTATTAGTGTACAGTGTTTTATGAATTATACATTCATGTCATGCAGTTAATCACATTTCAGTGAATTCATATTTGAGTCATCTTGGTGTCACAGAGCAGGGCATTCAAGCTGTTTAGAAATTCAAATCATTCGGCATTCCTTTTCCTTCTGTCACATTATTTTCTAGAGGGCCACACTTTGGCGAGTACATTTACAGCACAGGTTAAAGCAGTCTGCTGTGTACCGAAACACAATTACATGCAATATGACAGCATTGTACTTCATAAATATATGTTTTCTAATTCAATGTACAGACATATTTACACATATTTGCATACTACAATACGTATAGTATCCATAATGTCATTGGCTCTTTTGGAAAAGGCTCTTTTTATTCTGTCACTACAAAAGAAGTTGAGAGCACAGCTTATTTCTGCATTAACAGTCAGCAAGTCATACATATTGTAACTATTTCATACGTCATATGTTTTGTTAAATGTTTCCCACAATCAGTGTCCATAACAGTGCTGCAGCCAATGATGTGACAGTAACTGTTCTCCGAGGCCCAACAAAAGAGTTAAACCTCCAGCGAGGAAGACAGTCGATTCAAAAGCTGACTCCCGTAACCATCCATGGCTCAGAGCAGGCACCAGAGCATCTCTTTAATCCCCTCTCAGTCTGTCAGGATTTTTTAAGGGGTGAAACTTCAACAGAAATCTGAAGTTTACTCCCCATGATCAGAAAGAGGAATTGTAAAGTCGCAATGCGGTTGTTAACTTTTCAGATCAGGTGAAGTACTTGCACCCGGTGGAATCGATGAGGCAGGAGTCGGTGCATCTGAGATGCCCAAAGGATCTGAAGGGGACAGGGAAAAATATTTTTTAACAAGATTGCACTAAATGTACAGTAAAATTCTTTACCTACACTAATGACCGAAGATGTAATAGCTCAGGGTATTTGCTTCCTTGCCAAGAATTACATAAGAGGATTGGTGCATCTCTCATATCTGTACAATAAATATGTATTCAACAGCTACAGCAGATTAGCTTTGCTTAGCAGAAAATAGGGACAAATTATAATATTAATAACTATATTGAAAGAGCACTATTCAAAATCTAAGTTATAAAGTGCTTTACAAGGGCAGCAAAATAAAAAAGACAGGTCATAAAATCATGAGTACAGCAAAAATTAAGGAATCACAAATATTAAAAGACAATATTAACTTAAAAGAACTCTAAAAGACATACAATTGCTTTAAATGAATTAAAAAAAATACAAGTATGTTTTAACAAGGAATTTAAAAGAGATCACTGACTTTTAAATCTAGTATTTGGGACACAGAGAAACTTCTGCACAAGGATCTCAATGTAAGTGACGGCTCGTGAACTACTAAAAGGTAGTTAAGATCATTTTTCTACCTCTGGACTGAACTGGGTGTAAATTTTCAAATCTTTGTGCTGAGCTAAGCTAACCATCTCAAGCTCTAACGTCACGGTTAGTGTTTCAACATGAGATTGGAAAGCATCTGTGGACTTTATTTACCAAAGAGTCAAACTATTTCTCTAAGCATACGTTTAAAACATGCAATGCACCACACTATCTGGATGGTTTCAGAGATATCATCGCAAAAGTACTTTTGTAGTACTTAAGTAGTACTTTACAATCCTCAGATGAACTCATGCAACTGATTAAAAAGGAACTGCATTGTGCAATCTTGGCACAGAAGATTTCTGTGAAATGCTGACCTACAGTAGCGATGTGTGCACCCAAGTGGTCTGGCACATTCTGTGGTGAATGTAAGTGTGTTCATTTGTAGAAGCTGTGACTGAGCATACCCAGGAAGATAGGACTTGCAGGTCTGATAACCAAAGTCCTTTCCGTCGCACTCCTCCATGCCTTCATGTCGGTAGCCGTCTCCACAGTAGGCCCACTTGCAGTCTGAGGTGATGAAGTGGAGGGGATGAGGAGGAGGAGGAGAGTGTTGTGGGGAGAAGGGAGAGGGAAGATATTACTAATTGGTTTGGCACACCTCCGTGTTTCACAGATGCCAATACAGCGCTTTCCTGCTAATTTAATTGAACAGCCGAGCCCAGTGTAGCAGGGGGATGGCAGGAAAAAAGAGAGGGTGAGATTAATGAAAGATCAGAGAAAGGTCTCACAGGGAGTACTGCTTTTATCCTCTGCCATGTGGGCTCAGACTCTGTGGTGCACTGTAGTTAGGCTCTGCGGGGTGTCTCATGAGCAACTGGGTATATGGCAGCATGATGTTCATGCAGCAAAACGCTGAACTTACTTTGGAGCTAGAGAGCAGTGTTTTTTTCATTTAGCAGTTTTGTAGATCATTATTCAAGCATCTTTTTTTTAAATCTTTATCTTTACATTGCTGAGCATGTGTTTATAAATGAGCAAGAGAAGCAGGTAACTCACTGAGGCAAGCGTCAGTGACAATCTGGTTTCCATCATCACACTCCTCTCCGTGCTGGGGCTGCACCTTCCCGTCCCCACATGCACCGACTCTGTCCGGGACTTCCTCCGTAGACTGGAACGCCTGGAAGGGCTGGACGAATCGTGAAGAGGAGAACAAGCGTTGACTTCAAATTTCAGGTGACCAGATGTAATGGCATCTTGGGCAAACACCAGGCTTAACCTGGTATATCTGGTTGATGTAGACTTAGGGTTAATCTATATTTCAAGGATAAGTTTTCTTCAGCAGATAGACTTGGTTTTGTTGTCATCTCAGCTGTTTTTACAACTGATCCATCTCCATAATAACGACAATAGCACTCAATAGAGCTCATACTTCAACCAAGGCCAAACAGCTCCTCTAATTTATTCGCGCTGCACCAAATTTCAAACACTAAAAAATATCAGTTCCCTAAATGTGCCTGATTTTTTTTCACATCAAGATCCATTAATTATTCTATGAGAAAACTGGGAAAATGCCAAGAAAAAACTGCTTTCACGCAATGTTAAAGATGTGTATCAAAATTTAACTGTGATGATTTTGTGCGTCAACCCCCCCCCCCTTTCTGTTCTTTCTCCTGCAGGGCATGTATGTGGCAGGGGGAGTGGCTGGCTTCTCCTGCAGCAAACAGGACACACCTGCTTCCACTCAAATCCTCAACCTCTCTATAAAAGCCTGGTCTTCACTCCACTGCTCTGCCAGATTGTTCTGTCTCGGTCGGTAGCTGCTCTTTGTGTTTGTTCTTTGTGAAATCTTTGGTGTTGATTTTTTTATTTTCTTTGGGAGAGCCTCACCAGTGTTTTTACTCAGGTTATCCTTTGCCTTGCTTCTTTTTGAGCCATAAACTCTTTTATTTATCTTCACCTACATTCAGTCCCTGCTCAGTCTCTAATTCAGGACATAACATTAATGGGTTCCTCACTAACACACACTGCATCCTTCCTCACAGTTTTGTGGTAACCTGTCCAGTAGTTTTTTTGCGTAATCTTGCTTACTGACTAACAAACAAACAACTGCAGATGAAGACACTAGGCTGTACTCAGTAGAGCACATGCCATTGCTAAGGCCCCTTCAATTGAATCAAGCTGCACTAAATTTCACACACTCAGCTGTTTTCAGACATGACCTGCGGGTTAAGGGAATTGGATACAGAGTTAACCCGCAGTTTGTCTTTCACACATGCACAACGCAACAGGAGGTTCTCCGCACAGACGCATTTACAACAGCAACATCCTCCCCATTATTCAGGTGAGGCAGAGGCAGGAAGCATTAACTCCTCTGTGGAGATGGTGGGATTTTCTTGCGACCACACAGACACCGTTGTCGACTCTTATCACCAAAAACTCTCTCGACATCATCTTCTATGTGTATGACACTGCTTTTTCACTGGAAGATATTTGATTTATTATTGTTTTTCCATGTGTATTTGAAGCGTCATCAATCCCAGCAGGGGAAATTAATTTCTACAGAGTTTATACTAGGTAGAGAAAGTATGGAGGGTCTGCAGAGTTCAGTGAATGTCTGAAAGCAGCTATAGATAACAGTGTGCTCACTGACTGTTAAAAATATTACAGCTTCCAGCACTGGTTACCTGTATGGGCTTCCATCCATCTTTATCTTTAAAGTACAGCATCCTCTGATCCTTCCTAAACGCCAGTGCATTGTCCAGATGAAGACGGCCCATCTCCTCTTTGTTGTTGACCACAAATATCTTCAAGTAAACAACGATAGGACATGATGAATAATGAATGCTTCAGTAATGATACACTTTCAATTTGGTTGATAGAGGGCTGTGTTGTGAAGGATTAGAGTCTTACTGCAGGGACTTTATTGGCACCTCCCCGTTGTGTGTAGCTGCCGAAAGGAGCATTATTAGCTCCAAGCGTGGTGTCACAGTCACAGCGACCTGGTACACCGGTGGATCCCTTCTCTCCTTTTTCCCCCACAAGATAGAGACCTGCAGAAAAAAACATGCTGTATCACACAGTGCCTCCACCATACTGATTGTGTGTGTATGTGTGATGCATGTGAGTTACCTGAGGCAGGTGGACCAGGTGGCCCAGGAAGGCCATTGGGACCTGCGGGACCTGCAGGGCCTGTGACTCCTGAGGCTCCAGTCTGTCCCTTCATGCCCTTTGCAAACCAGGAAACATCTCAATATTAAAAAATACACACAGGCACATGCACTCACTCACTCACACATACACACGCTCACACACACAGGTGGCCAACATGCCACTCCCACTTGTGCATAGCTGTGCTAAACTCATTGAAACATGACTGTGTGTGTGTTTGTGTGTGTGGAGTCAGGGAGTCAAGCACTTGTGTATTATCCACCCTGTCTTCCTCTCACCTGTTTGCCTCTCTTCCCAGGCCGCCCAGTTGGTCCTCTCTTCCCTGAGACTCCTGGCTCTCCCTTCGGTCCTTGCTCACCCTGGGAGAGGAGTAAAATTAAGAAATAGCCTTATGATGTTAAATCAAATATTCAAGCATCCCCAGGTTTTCATCTTTCTTACCTTCTGGCCAAGCATCCCGGGCAAACCAATGGAACCCTTTATATGGACCAAATGAGAGTTTGAAGTGAGACAACATGTAATTCCCTCCACAGATTAGTTACTTGAGTGTTTAAAATTGATTTAATCCAGCTCTGACACAGATGGTTTAATAAAACAGCTCGAAAGGTAACAACATGAGAGATAGCATTACATGAACCATTATAACACATAGAACACTTTCCAAAAAAACATTCCAGGCCCTGGAATATAGGAAACTCAAACCTTATCGCCTTTTGGTCCCGCTGACCCCAGGTCACCACGAGAACCCTTTCAAAGAAGAAAAAGGGTAAAGGAAGGTGAAATATAGGCTATAATAGTTGAGTAGTCACAGGCAGTTACTATGGCACATCTGAACTTACCTTATCTCCTTTGTAGCCAGGTAAACCCTGAAAAGGCAGATGAGTGAATGTTTAGACAGAACGACATCCAGCTTGTGTGTGATGATGTACAGATGTGACAAACCTTTGTCCCTGGTGGGCCCCTCAGTCCTGGTAATCCCATGAGTCCTGGATCCCCTTTCTCACCCTAATAAAAAAAAATCAATAACATATATTAGGGTCTGTACCATATACTTGATTTGGTATGTATAAAGAACATCAAGGTGTATAATGTGCCATACCAAACCATTTTCCACAAAAAAATGTGTTAGTATTTGGAAAACCATGAGATTTACCTTGAGTCCCTCTGGACCAGGCCATCCTGATAGTCCTTGTTTCCCTGGGAGACCTGGGGCTCCTGTGCGACCCTGCAGGAACACAGACACATTTGACTCTGCTCCTTGAATATAAAATAGAACATTCTCCGTGTTTGTCAATGATCTGCAAATGCTCAATACGATGCCTGTTTAATGACTGTGCTGGCCTGATTTTGATGGGGACTAACTGGGGTTTAAAAAGTGTCACAAACAAATAAGAAATTCAAACTGTCTACCTGTGATGCCCTGATAACAACAGGACAAAGGCTACAGCCTCCAAACCTGAACAATGCCACTGACCTTTACTAACGAGTGGACTGGAATAAAGCTTTAATCGAGCAGGAGAGTCAGATATATTACAGAACACCCTCACGTCTCTGTGACACCTGGACGAGTATCCCAGAGGTGCTGCCACGCTTGCGGCGTGCTCTCGTTTAGCCGCACGTCATTAAAGCAGAGGCCTGCAGAGACAGTGTGGACCTGCTGCTGTGTGGAGTGATTTATCATGGAGAGCAAAAGCACTCAGGGAGATTAAAGTGCAGAAGTGGAATGCTGGAGAGGCTGGATCAGCAGGACTGGAGTCCAGTATGGTGGGCTAATGGAGCCAGGCCAAGGAAAGGAGGGAGGAAGAAGGGTGGGGGGGTTGTAGGAGAAGAGAAGAGAGGGGGATGATGAAGTGGAGGACGGACAGGCAACATCCAGGGATGCAATCAGGTTTTGGTATGTGGCCGCAGTGGCTACAGAATCTAATGGAGCACGACCCATTTGGCAGCTGCCGAGGATATTTTGAGCGCATCAATAGACAAATCGCATCACAAAGATTGAGGACGCATCAGGTGGACAAAGGAGGCAGAGAAGGGGGAGAAATCTAGATCGCATTATTCCAAGGACACGCGAGAGACCGACCAAAGAGGGATGAGCGACAGACCCAGATTTGCGAGAGAGGAGAGAGAGAGATGCTCACCTTTGACCCCGGGCGTCCAATTTCTCCCTGGCGGAGGACAAATGAGGGGAGAAGAGGCAGAGCGCTCATTAGAGCTGAGTGGGACGCTAGGACACCCACACACATACTTTCATGGCAAAATATTAAATATAAATAATATTAGAGGCATAATTGAGAAATAAAAAAACATAAACCTTTTCTCCTTTTGGTCCTGTTATGCCAGGTAATCCATCATGACCCTGAAAAATTATAACAAATTTATACATGTCACACAAATCAATACAAATAAAGGTAATTTGATTTCCACACATTTTTAACAATATTTGAATCTACTGTATGAATACACTATTTGATGCACTGTGATTGAAAAGCACTGCAGATACTCATGGAGGTTTACAACATTGTGTGGTATTTTATTTTGAAACACAGCCTTACGTCTGGTCCCCGGGGTCCTGGAGGTCCGGGTGGTCCAGGCGAACACCCCGGTGTTACAGCTTTTTCTCCTTGCTGCTCCTCTTTTCCACTAACACTTGGCTCTAACATGCCAATATCATCCTTCAGACACACACAAACAAAATCCAAGAGAACAGGTTTGATTGTAAATGAGGGGGCATCATGCAGACAGGTTGGGTGAGAGTGCGTTTGTGAAGACCTACGGGGCTGCCTCGCTTCCACACCTGAGGCGGTGGAGGGTAGAACGGCGGCGGAGGCGGTGACATGAGACAACAGGGGTCGAACCTCATCCTCTCATCCAGCAACCTGAGGGCTGAGGGGAGGGGGGAGACAGAGAGTAGCAGCTGTGACAGGTGCAGGCTACGTGTCCGTCAGTCGGGACACTCACACATACAGATGGATGTCTTCTTACCTGACTGGGCAGAGAGGATGCTGTCCATGAAAGGGTGATTGGAAGAGGCCCACGCAGGACTCATGAGAATGTGGAAGGACACTGCAAATTTGACCAGGTCCATTCTGCTGCTTTAGTTGTTTACTCTAGTTTCCCTGAAACACACAAACACAAGCTGTCTCACACAAACACACACACACACACACACACACACACTATTTATGCTGTCTGAGGTTAATGCAGTTACTGGCAACTGTCACCTCCCTCTCTTTACTCTTGAGGGTGCTTCATCACTCCCTCACTTTTGTCCTCTATAGAGTCTCTCTCTCTCTCTCTCTCTCTCTCTCCTCACAGCATAATAAACTTGTTGCACCTCAACACTGCAGCAGATGCAACCAACGCTGTGATTCTAGCCGTTCACCCCCCCCCCCACCCCCCCACTCCACACAGCCCTGCATGTGCCATGATGAGATCACTAAGTGACAAGTCATACCAAACATAACAATCATGCAGCTGTCACAGGTTCACCCACCCACCCAAACACACACACGCGCACACACACACACACACTATACTCCCAGGACAGTTATTATTAAGGACAGTTATTGCTATGACTACATTCCATTACCTCTTCCAAAATCCACGACTAAACGATTAAGTGCGAATGAAAATGATAATCCCGCGATGAACCACGTGCGTTTTGCAGAAAGGATGCTGCACAGGACGCTGTTCACTCCATCTTCACTCTTGAGGCTCACTCCCCTTCTATTAGTGTCTACACGCGCAGCCTGCAGCTCGTCTTAATGTCCAGAAGATGCACTGACAACAGTGTCATGCACACCGTGCACGGCTTTTAACGCACACCCCTTACCTTCCACTTGAAATTGTGCCGCACTCGCAGACGCGCAGTCTGTCTCCTCTCGCGGTGCGCAGTCCCACGCACTGTGGCTCCTTTGGCATCTGGCGCGCTGTAGCCGATCTGCACCGCCAATAAATCTGATCCACTTATCGACCAGTCTTTCCTCCCCGCCGGTCGATAACAACACAGCTGGGTGGAGGGAGGACCTGTAGCAGAGGCCACTGAGCGGAGCCAACACAGTGCCAGCTGTGGATCAGAGCCACAGTCACGGCTGTAACATCTGGATGGAGCTCAGTGCAGCAGGTTGAATGTCTGAGCTCACAGTCCGCATGCTGCCACTCGTTTGGCACGTTTCATCTCCACAGTGATGCTGATGGAGGCTTCATCAGCAAAATGGCACCATCTCCTGGACATTTAGCTCCACGACAGACAAAATATTTTTTTATTCTTACCATAGATGGATTTAAACTCAGTACGTGACAGAAGTCACTTTCTGATTTGTTGAATAATCTATGCTCAAATTCTTCAATCCATTTTGTATTGAGACAGGTGAGAGACAGGGCAGAGTTTATGTTTCAGCATAAATGTGCTCATTCATTAGTTATTGAACAGGAACCATTGAATGAATGTAGAGATACATAAACTATATCAGATATGATGAGGACTGTCTTACTGCAGTATAATGCACAACTCTGTAGAGCACATGTAAGAGAATCTCTCTCCTGCGCGGTCAAAATAATATTTACAAACTGTGGAAAATTGAATGTGACTGTCTATTCTTTATTTTAATTATTCAGGTTGAGTCATCTTCTGCTTTAATTTCTTCCTTTTCCACGGGAAAGTGGGCAACCATGAAGGCGCCCGGGGAGCAATTGGGGGGTTCGGTGCCTTGCTCAGGGGCACCTCGGCAGTGCCCAGGAGGGGAACTGGCACCTCTCCAACTTCCTTCCATGCTGGACTTGAACTGGTCACCCTCCGGTTCCCAAGCCAAGTCTCTATGGACTGAGCTACTGCCTCCCTCTCTATTTATTTATTTTATTTTATTTTAGAGCTTTTATATCTTTCATAATACCCATACCAGTTTAGGCTACTTTTGCGAGCTGGATGCTACTCGATTTCATTTTCCTAAGCACTTCACTGGTGAATGGTCTGAATGACATAAAGTGGATCTTGAATCTTGAATCTTTACCAGCTCAGTCTTGCAAACCTCAGACGTTCTAGTTAATGGATTACCTGCCCTCGGTCCTGTTTGATTTATTATGACACAACAGAGATATGTAGAAAAAAAAAAAAACAGGTTATTGTTTTGCATTCCCTGTATATTTTTATTTAAATGTAGTGTAACCAAAAACTATCACAAATTACAAATGCACATTAACATCACATTGTATATTCATTGACAACATTTTCATGAGCTGCAGGACACTGACTTCTGCTTTGAAATCTACAGTGTGTGGTATTTTATTTTGAAACACAGCCTTACGTCTGGTCCCCGGGGTCCTGGAGGTCCGGGTGGTCCAGGCGAACACCCCGGTGTTACAGCTTTTTCTCCTTGCTGCTCCTCTTTTCGACTAACACTTGGCTCTAACATGCCAATATCATCCTTCAGACACACACAAACAAAATCCAAGAGATTTTGGGGTCAGCTACAGCTTGTGACCAAAACGCTAAAACCTTTTAAAATTTACCCAAGTATAAAACCACTTATAAACAGAAAGAGACCCAACAAGTAATACACATACAAACATAACCCTATAACAATTACCATTACAGTTATAGTAAGAAGTAGGATTTAAAGTGGCGAAGATGCTAAGTGTGTGAAACCAAATTGTTTCTGTGCAAGTAGCAGTAGGTTTCATTAGTAAACGACAGCTTTTAGAAAAGCCCAGAGGAAGTCTGCCTCTTTAAGAAGCCCCGACTGAGAAGTGACTGGAGCAATGATAATTAAAAACAGTCTCCATGTGAACAAAGTTGTAATGCAACAAAAGGTAGTCCCAGAAATAAAACCAAAACTGTAAAGGTACAGTGTATTGCCGCGGTCTGCAGCTGCACGATTGTTCTACAGTATTTCTAGGAGGTGGCATCCTTTAAATAAGCTATAATATCCTGTCTCTCCTTTTTCTTCCTGATCCCAGAGAAGACCATCTTGGTGCCAGGAATGTACTTCTTTGGGTTTTCGAGGTAGACATTCAGTGTTTTCTCGTCCCATATGATACCTGCAACAGCAAACATACACATCAGCTGCATGTTAAGGTTTGTAATATGTTTTCATGTGTCTTGATACGAAAAGCATAAATTCACTTGGTTTAGGTTTTACCGCCTCCACAAATAGGTTTTGTTTTCCCCAGGTACACAAAAACTACCTGACAGATTAAAATTTGGTGCTGATCTGGATCAGGGAGCGAATCCAGGATGTAACTTTCTTTTGACATTTCAAGTCAAATAGGACGTTTTTATTAACATTGTCACTAATTTGCCTGGAAATAATTCATAGATGTTCATGGAAACAAATCAAGCCTGTTTAGGGAACTGATATCTACAAGTGTGTGCAATTTGCAGCAGCTTTATTGAATAAAACTGTTTTGTGGTGGTATGTGATCGATCTGCCATTCTAGTTGCCTCATGCTGGAGTCAGGGGGGGAGTCTCTGTCACTAATGTCTGACCTGTTCAGACCTGCTCCTCTAACTTTCTGGTATGGAAAATAAAAGAACCAAGATGCTGTGCTGCACTGCACTTTTAAACATCTATCTATCTATCTATCTATCTATCTATCTATCTATCTATCTATCTATCTATCTATC